TAACCAGATCTTAATGCAACAATTTACCTATGCAGTCTTTTATAGCTATACTTTTCACATATAACTCTTTAACCCAGGTTGAATTTACCATGCTATAAGGTATGAGGAGTGGCTTTAACTTAGTTTCTTCCCAGCATCAATCACAAAATAATCTTTCTTTCCCCTGCTGATTTGACATATATAGTAACATCTTAGCTATCTTAAGGTTTATTTGTGAAATTCATGTGTTATATTAATCTAGTATTTAAGAGATTCTTTCACCAGTACAACACTGTCTTGAAAATTTAAGATATATTTTAATGTCCTAAATTAAAAGGTCATCTTTATCATTCTTTAAAAAATACTTGTATATCTGCCAGCTGCAAATAAATAAATAAATAAATAATACTACTTGGCTATTCCAGCTTGTTTACTATTTCAGATTAATTTTAGAATCATTTTGGCAAGTTCCCCCAAAAAGCTCACCGCATTTTGACTGTAAATTAATCACACATTTAATTAATTCAGGAAGATCTGCATATACCATATATATCCATAAAACGTGTATGTGTAAATATCCAGTATTCATTCTTTCCATTATGACCATAAAATTGTGAACTATGATATCAGATAAACAAGTAAAATATTTTAAAATGAAGAGTTAAAATTAACTCCTTTAAATGTATATATGTATCAAATGAACAAATGACAAATAAAAAAGTAGGATAAAAAAACAACTCCAAGGGCCGGCCCGGTGGTGCACTGGATGGGTGCGCCGCTTGGGAAGTGCGGCGGCGCTCCCGCCCGAGGGTTCGGATCCCACATACAGACCGGTTCCCGCTCACTGGCTGAGCGAGGGGCGGGCGCAGCACCGAGGGTTGCAATCCCGTTGCCGGTCCCGGTCCGGTATGGGCACGACACTGAGGGTTGTGGTCCGTTGCCGGACACGAAAAAAGACAAAAAGGAAAAAAAAAAAAAAAAACTCCAATCAGGCAGCAAAGTGATCAGCAGCAAAACAGGTTGGTGGTGCAAAGACCACATACTACTATCAAGCACTAAGATGCTGAAAAAGGTTCCCCTAAAAAAAAACCTCTAAGGCTCTCAGGACATTTGTGACGGA